CCAATACTGAACACACTAAGTGAGGATTTATGCATTGTAATTACTAAGAAAAATCCCTTGCACAATGTACATAATACAGGTTTATAAAATTATCTGTTTTATGTTATTTGAGCCTTTTCAGATGTAAATATACTCTTTAATGGTATTAGTTCCATAGTCTGTCCTGAATGAGTTAGAATCACAAATTCACCTGAAAGTAATTAAATTACTGACTCATTTCTACTGAAATGTCATAGGCAGCTCAAATGTGAAATGCCAAGTTTAATTAAACTGACATCCAAGGATGATTTAAGTCACCTAGTGTGTTATGAAAGAAGGTGGGCAGGAGGCCTCGTATTGAAGTCCCAGAAAGAACTTAACAGTGGACAGTAACCAGATCCCTGCTTAAGGAAGTTGGAACAATCAGAGCAGTTTAGAAACTGTTTCTACAAAATGTTCGCCACTATAAAAAATGGTTTAGCACTTAACTTTCTCACATCAAGGTCTGGTAAACATACAGTAATCTATATCGGGCAGTTTCAGGAAGCCCTTGTAAGACTGAAAGGGAAGGGCTCAGGCCAAATCTTAGTTGACCTCAGTGATGAGGAATTTCTTTAGCCACTAATTTAGATATATTGATTTCTCTCCTTCAATAATGCACATAAAACAGAAGGACTATTTCCTTACTTGAGTTTTGCTTAAGTAAATATTTAAATGGTGCTATGTGTGACATGTGCAGGTTTAGTTAGTTTTAGTTAAGTCAGGTTTAGTTAATCATTAAAATAATACTTCTATTGTAACTTTTAACAGAAGAATATAAAAAAATAAGAAAGTGTATTACAGATGGAATTGATTAAGTGTGATTAAGACTTATGCCACTTTACCCTTTAAAATACTGAACCTTGGCTGACCTATCCACACGTACTCTATTTCCATTTACTTGGCTATAACTTTTCTATACAGTACGCTCTTGTGAGAAATGACAGGCTTTTTGTCTGTTCACTGGGCTTTATGTAGTGGTGAGGTCAGGCCTGAAAGGTGCATGGCTCAGGTATACATGTAACTCTATGACTGATTGCTTTATTAATCCAAGGAGCAGTGGAAATGAATGTAAACAATTTACATGTACTTTCACGTGCAATATCGGTTTTGGAATGGGGTGTGAAAAGATTATCTAAGCTGTTTGTGCTCTTTTGGTTTTAATTGTAGGTCATAATGGAAGGATCTTAAGACTGATCCCAAGAAATAGGGAAACAGAATTACAACTTTTGTAAACAGACCATACGGTATACCCCAACAAATACCAAGTATGCCTAGGAACTTCCAGTCTAATGAGTAGTCTCTCTCTGTGACAGGTAATGAATGCACGGTTGACTTGAAAATCATGAGATTGGCTATGGTCATATTTTCTCTCCAGAACAAACCACAAGTGTCACTGAGGTGAATGTGTTCAGTTCCAATGACCATTCCCTTCATCTGAACACCCTGCTAAAGGATTAGATTGTGTACATTTCAAAATTTTGGAAAATAAATGTAGTGTGCCATTCAAGCTGTTTTTCCTGCAGAGGCTAAATACATTAGTCATTGTTCCTTAGTTGCTTTGGTCAGTGAGTACAGTATATATCATAAGCAAACCTAAAGTAGTGGGAGGATCATGGCACAGGGCTGTGATCATCAATAGTACAGTGGATGTGGTGTTTTAGACATCCACTTTTCTCACTCACACTGGTGCAGCACAAACCCACATCTGCTATTTCTGTGCCTTTTTAGTGTTGAAAACTTGCCTGGACCTTCAAAATGCTTGTACATCCACGTCCAGATCAATAAAGGTGCTACAAATTCTAAGTGACTCAAGAACAGGGATGTTCTCACTCATTAGAGAGTTTTTTTTTATTACTTACAGAAAATCTTATATGAAGACATTTTAAAGAACGAGCATGTTGTTCTGTTTTCTTAACAAAGTCCTTTACTTTTAACAGTATTAAGTTTTAACAGTATTCTTATCTTCAATGTAATAAGCATTCTTTCTGTAAGAAGTGTTACTGTAAGTAACTATTTGTGAAGTTACTGTACTTACGAGCGCTGTTATTCAGAAAATATAAATTGCCTTTTAATAATTTTGATGTAGTTTCATAATTATATTTCAAATTCTGCAATCAAAAGGTAACTTGTGAATGATGACAGAATAAAAAACATTGACACCTTAAATTATTTCTAAGATATACCTAGTGTTCAAGATCGGGGTATCTAAAGTAGGGAAAAATCTCCCAGTTTTGTCAGAAAACTGAGCATTTTAAGAAAATGAGTAGCATTTCGCTCTGTTCCTGAAAAACCCAGTTGACTTCTATATATTTAACATGCCGTGTTTTTTTTTAAAGAAACAAAATAGTCAGGTTGCTAAATCTGACCCTTCTTTGGTTTGGAAATGTGCCTTGCAATATTTCACAAGGAGATCTTGATATAGAACAGATTATGAGTGACGTAAAAACCATATCCTTGGCTCTCTGCCAGAAAGGATGGCTAGCGGCTGCATTTTGTTGTTTTTTGTGACTGCATGGGATGTTAAGGATGTCGAGTTAAATACAAATATTAAACATGACAGAAGGGATTATCAGTGTGTACAAATCACATCAAGAGAGAAGGTTAATCTTGGGTGCAGAATAAAATGGAAGTTGAATTTAATCTGAATATAGAACAACGTTCTTGACCCCGAGACAGCATACAGCTGGAAGCATTTTCTATAAGCTGGAAGCATGGAGATAAAAAGATCAAATGGTCAGAAGTAAAAAGACTTAATGAAACTACTGGAATAACAAATGGTTGGTAATTCAAAGTGAATATTAAGCAGACATCTCGCAAAATAAGAACAAGCTATTTACTGCAATCTGTTTCCTCTTGCACTGCACACCTGTTATCATGAACAATCTACTTACATTACACACTGGTCAGCGATTGTTGATTCTCAAGGTTTTTTTTTTGTTACCCTCCCAATTTGAAATTGCTGACTGTAAATCATCTGAACTGACTTCTCCAACCCTTGTACCATCATGGGTGGGGAGGAGAACTGTGCACAGCTTCCTGCAAATGGAATGCTGATGAGTCATTTAAATCTATTGACACTGTGAGTTGTTAAGGTGGATATTGTGGGATCAGCATTAACTGCAGGGCTGGTGAGGCTTTCTCTGTCAGCCCTGCTACTGCACAGACTCTCCACAGTCTGTGAGACACAGATTCTTATTCTGTGTCTTTTTGAGACACTGTCTCAATAAAGGACCTGCCTTTTTTGTCTTTCAAGCCAAGGATACAATGTCTGACTCAAGCCAAGCCTACTCTACTCTTGTCCGCTTTTGGCCAGGTGCCTTTGAAGGAACCTAAAACCAAAGTCTCAGACCAAACTCAAGCCAGCAAAGTCAGGAAGTCAGATCCCATGACCCACATGGAATCTGTTGCCTTCTTTTATCTTTCAGTATCTACAAGGGCAGGTTATCTTACTGCTTGCCGTTACCAAATCATCAAAGTGTATTTGTGGTGTTTGGAGCAGACAGATTCAAATTGAAATTTAATTGATGAGTTTCAGCTATAGCAGTAGGAAAAACCAATCCCATATTTCGCATTCGCATAGTAATTGTATTTCTTTGTAAGGAGTTTTGCGTGTGCAATAAATGTGATGTGTAATATTTTCTGATATATTCAGATGAACAGAGGAAACGTGTGTCCATGAAACTTTTCCCCTAGGGGACAATAACGTTTCTTATCTTCTAGTTCTGTATTCCTTTGTATACTTCCAATATTTTCACTAAAAAATGTAAAAAAATACATTACATTGCCAACATGAAGATGGAACCCAGGCCACTAACCTCCTCTTCCGTAACCTTGATCATATCAGCTTTTTTACGTAACTTGGTATTCCCATTTAAATCTAGTTTGTTTGCAGGTTTTGCAAGTCTCTTTACAGCATCTGAAAAGCTGGGAGAAGTTGTTAAATAGGTCTGATTAAGTCAGTAATAAGACGTTTCAGGTTTTTAAGAGCTGTGGAAACCCACGGACTCAGTGGTCGTACAAAACCAAGAATAGGGAGCTCATGTTTAGACTGTCAGTACTGGTATGCTGTGTATTATTGCTAGGTGGTTCATGTGAAATATTACCAAACAAACCATGAAGGTTTGTGGAAGACACATACATCTTTTTTTGTGGAAGAACATATGTACCCTTCAGAATAAAAATAAGATTTAATACAACTCAAAACTTGTCAGTGTTTGCTGATGGTTTCTAAAGAGAATCTCTAGGTAACAAACAGCCTCCCTTGGTTAGTGAGTGAATTTTTAGAATAGGGGCATAGGTTTTCCATTTATTTTGTAGCATTTGGGTTTATGTAGAGAGAGATTGAACTGTAGGTTGTATTATGTTAAGTGAAAGTAGGTTTATCTCCGTTTGGGTCAATTATTGAATAGGATATAGGATGCAAACACTTGGTTGCAGTCAGGGGATTTCTGGTTCATGACCAAAACCTTTGAGATGCCTTATTTGTAAATGGTGTAACTTGTATGTTGTGTGTGTTGATTAGTTCATGTTGTGTCATTATTTAAAAAAAATAGTCAATTAACTCAATGTGCCTGATTTATCATTTCTTTTCACAACAGCTGTTCCGAGATCAAAGGGGCCTCTAATTATAACAACCACTCTGATGTATTCTTAGCAAAATCTTTACAATTTGGGGGTTATGATTATTTAATTTAGTTTCAAGAGTAATCTGCTTGGTTATTTTCTGACACTTACTATTGTCTTAACCCCCATTTATAACACAAGGATATAATGTGACAATGCAGTCTCCTGCAGCTGGGAGAGAACATGCTTAAAGAATGAGCAATAACCACAGATCTGCACCTGCAGTTCAAAAACAGAATTCAAAATTTAATGTTGTAGAATTTAGGGAGCCTTACAGCAGAATCTCAGAACTTAAATCAAAAATTTATATTTTACATGTAACAAGTCAGTTGCTTTCTCTCTGCTTGGCTTCACAGATCATAGGATCTGCTCTCCTCCCTTCCTGGTGTTGAACAGTGACTGTGGGACTGACACTCTGAAGCAGATCAAGAAGCATGGTCTCACATTCCCCTTCAGTAAGTAGGGAACTTTTCCTCCCCTCGCCTCACAGATGAATAGTTTGATGCTGTTTCTCGGTTAAAAAAATTAAACTCTTGCTAATTAGGAAACAAAGCAAACAGCTTCTTTCTTCTTAAGACACCAGGCATGACGTCTTTTTTTAGTCCCTCAAGCAGAGTTTACAGGTGAGGTTGAACCCAGAGCCCATAGAACTGGCATTTCAATCTGCACTTTACCAGTTGTTTGCCAGATTACCTTTCCTTCAGTTTATAAAAGTATTTTTTAAAATAAAAAATGGAAGGTAATGTGAAATTTCACCTTCAATTAATTAATTCCCTTAACTGTACATTACATATTCCCGAGGTCTAAAAAATATGCCAATATTTTTTATAGTCAAAATAAAAACAGTATTACATGTTTATGGCAGTTAGACCATGTAACTTAGTGGAGTAGTCAACGAGACAAAATATGTAATTAGAAATATGCATAGCTTAGTTCAAGGCAGTCCAAATGTCTTTCGATTGCTCTTTTAGCACTTTCTATTGCTTCCCCTAACACATTTTAACACATTTTTCTGCCATGAGGCTTAAAATAAGGAGACTGTTCAAAGTTAGAAATCAACTGAGATCAGTTGAAGGAGTAAAGGAAGCTCTGTCATTGTTTCATAAATGGCTTTGCACATAAAAAACAGGTACTAAAACCTCCTTTGTTGTAACAAAACTCAGTAAATGGAGCTTTTATGCAGCCAAGAGTGAACTGTATATGGTTACTCATTTTTGCCACTAATTGAAACATGATGGCCTGCCAATATTATTTTCAACAGAACAGAGATTTATATTGTACAATAATTATTATATTTAAAATAATTGTGATTAATAATGCAAACAACATCCCTTACTTAGCAGGTAATGAGTTCTGTTAAATATATCTAATTAGGATACAATAACTGTTAATTATCTTTCAAGAAAGGTACTATATCACAAAATAACAAAAATCTAAGATTCTACAAATAATATCTTGCTATGGTTGAGCCTAGTATTCCAGTAATTTACAGTATGTCCTCATGGAGTACATTTAAATCAAATAACCAGCACAGGTTTGAAATCCCTGATGTACAGTTGTTGCTACAAAAACAGGGGTCCTAGGATAGAGTTCTGAGGAGCACCTGCAGTGACAGAGAAAGATGTACTAAGAGAGACAGAAGACCGTGTTTTAGAAGGATTTAAATAAGTAATGAGATGTTGAGAGAGTATTGTAACTGATTAAAAAGGACATTGAATATCTCAAAAGATCAAATTAGATAAAACAAGAAAGAAAGGCCAAGTGCCTATTTCCTTTAATGTATCATTTTGACAGGAGCTGTCTGCATACTTTTGATGAAACCCTGAACAAAACACTTCACACTTGTTATTAAAAGCCAACAGCTCTTGTCGATGAGGAGCCACTATGTGTTCTAACAGTTTTGGCCATGTGCCTTTTTTGTGTTTGTGCCAGAAATTAATTGAGCTGTTTTGATTTTTACCATGATAACCTTCTGCTTTTCTCTCTTCCATCACAGTCTGCAAAACCAGAGTAGCACATGGTACCAATTCTCATGAGGTAAGAGGAAACCATTATTGGAAATCCAGTCTCGGCAGGAACAGTACAAAAAACCACAGCAGGGTTGTTCTTGTGATTTTTATTTTAAAAAATCCAGCTGCATCTGCTGAGCTGAGAACACATGATATGGAACAGATTTCTGTAGCTCCGAACATCGTGCTCTTGCATTGGTCATAATTTTGCAGCTTTCAGGTGTCCTCTTTAGAAGAGTTCTTGTGACACATACAAATTTCAAATCTAGTAAATTTTATCACATTTGTTTCTATATAGCCCTTTTTATTTGCTTATCTCCCATTTTTGTTCCAGCTTCATTCTATATTGTTTTTGTAAAGGAGAAACTGAAGGAAGTTAACACCATAATTGCCTGCATTACATTGTAACCATGTGACGGGTAGTTCATGCCTACTGTACAAGCTTCAAAGTTCAAATGTTCTTTCTTTCACTGCATGCTGTGCAGTATATCATTAACTGTTTGGTGCTCACACTTAAAACATGTTGGAAATGTTATCTGCAAGAATTTTGACCTTAAAAATACAACATCATCCTCAATTATATAATGCTTATATTAAGGACAGGGGTGAACTGTTCAACTGTAATCAGATGCAGTTACCTTCATTTTGTCTCAGAGCACATTACTATTACCTTCAACAGAAATGAGCTTTTTTTCCTTGAAGTGTGTCATAAAAGTTCGAGAGACATTGCAGTCAGCTGAGAAAACACTCTTCTTTCCATTTCTTTATTTTAGGTGCAGCCCATGACAAATGCTGTGTCTCTGTTAATATTGTTGAATTACTCTATATGCCCCTGCTTGTTTAATTGCTCATGGGTATTTTGTAGTATCTCTGTGTTCATATTTTCTTTTTTCTTCAAGCTCACTGGTTTAAGTATAACGAATCTGTGTTGCCTCACCTTCACGTTGTGTACTGTACCAGTTTTGTTTCGACAGTTTCACAGGCTAAATGTTGTAGGGGGTGTATTTTGTAATATTGGTATTTATACCAGGATAACTTAATGGAACAAATTAGAAACAGTTCTGTCTTTAATGATTAAGTGTGTTAAGCTGGTGATGTCATTTTATTGCTTTCCAAAGCACATAACCTGAGCTTCAAACATCATAAAGAGCACTGTGATATGCCTGTCTGTGTGTGATTAATCAGGGGCTTAGTTATTAACCAGGGTTTAGAAAGATAGCCATTGTTGTTCAAGCCATTTTAGTGTGGGATGAGCTGCACTTCAGTTCATCCAGATTTCCACACCTTCTTATCAAACAAGAACTAAGTTTGCCACTGCTTTTTCTCCTAGATGGCGATCATTTTTAGCGAAGAGAACCTGAAGGACATCAAGCCACCGTGTGTGATCCAGAGCTTCATTAATCATAACGCAGTGCTGTACAAGGTGTTTGTGGTGGGGGAGTCATACACAGTGGTGGAAAGACCTTCCCTAAAGAACTTCCCAGCTGGACCTGCAGGTGAGAATGTGGTAACAGCTGCCATGCCACTTGTCACAACCCTTGTTCTAATTCCAACTGCTCCATCACAGCCACAGCAGAATGCCAATGGATATACAACACTGTAGAAAAAGATTCAAAAAATAAATGGGTACCTAGGAATTTGTCAGCCCTTTCTTCATTTGATGAGAAAGCAAATGGAAGTGGCACCACGTTTGGTTCTGCATTTTGTTGTAAAGGATATATAGATTTTAGGTTCGGAAGAATGGTTCTGCCACCTGACTTGGTTTTACTGGCAATATCCACATTCTGTGAAACGGTACAAGAGTAACATAACATCACTTTATTACCCCTATACAATTTCTTGCATTAGGAATTCGTCTTTTCGCATAACCCAGCTTGCTCTCCATGAGACACAGACACACAGGCGGGGAGAGAAGCTTGGGGTCAGAGCGCTGGGTCAGCCACTGTACAGCGCCCCTGGAGCAGTTGGGGTTAAGGGCCTTGCTCAGAGTTAGAGGAAACAATGAAAAATGACGGTGAAATGGGTTTTAGCTTTTGGACATTTCTCTATAGACATAACTTACCTAACAAGAGAAGTGTTCGAACTGTTATTAGCCAAGTGCTTTTCTTCTAAAAAATGATAGACTGGAACTAAAATTCGTAATTTGTGGTTATTTAATGCCCACCCCTCCTGAAAGCAATGACGAGAACAGATGGAAAAAATTACTTCTTCATTATGTTGCCTCACAGAAAAAGTGGTCTGTGTTACCTTGCCACAGTTATATCACATCATAGCAACCTTATTAATTGCTTTCTAGTGAATTGCTGGCTGGTTTCATATGCTAACCAATTGGAAATTAGGCTTTTTTGTGCATGTACAGTATGATGTGCATTGCTCTTTTACCCCTGGCAGTATATAAACATAAAAACCACACATTGGCAGAGAATAATTGCAAATTCTTAATGTCTTGCATTAATTGTAGAAATATTTCTGTTTTTTCTGTTTTCTGTTATCTGCTGTTTTCTTGATGGTCTAAATCATTATTTCCACTACCCGTTTCTTTGACATATCTCTTATTTTCAAGAGAAACACGACATTTTTGCATGTTACTGTAGCTTCATCCATGCAAATGAGCCGTGGTTATAAAATCTACTTTGCCTGATGCAAAACACACTTCTGGATCTCTTCTGTAGCATTAGTCCTCTGTACACCACAGGCTTCTTTTCCAACATTTCTTGTAACATCTCTGTTCTATAACATTTTATGATTTTTCCAGTTCACATCTGACATCATTACCAACATTAGTGTTTTGTACTGTATAAAAATAGCAAGGCATCAGGAGATATTAACTTGAACTCTTGTGGCATGTCCATGATTATGTAACATAAAAAAAAACAGTCAGAAGGGTCCAAGTAACTTTATGATGCCTTTTCTCACACTCTGTATCCCAATGGATTAATTTCCTTTGACATAAATCTGACGTTTATTTCATTGGATCCATGTATATTGTTTTTTTCTTTTTCAAAAGCTCTAAACTTGAAAGGCGAGACATTTTTCTGACACGGGAAGCCATTATTAAGCACATGAATGCCTACGTTTATCAGTCTTCATAAGTACGACTCAGCAGCGTCGGTTATTTCTCAGACTTAAAATATTATAGCACCTGTTTTTTTTTAAGGTGGTTTGAAGAATTGCTGCAAGAGGCTGTTAATTTTGAATGAAAGAGCCTTCACTCTGTATACTACAGTGAATAATGGACAAAAATAGTTCACATGCTGACTAAACTGCGTCCCCTAGTAACTTCACAAGCAGAACATATTCACAAAGCTGTTATAGTCCAACCAGTTAACACTTCATACATCTGTATCATTACATACTCAATATACTGTATGTAGTAGTTTAACAAGGGTGTCGTCAAACAAAAAGTGTGCTTCTGTTTTATGGCGATAGAAGTGTAAAATAATAACGCCCTTTGTCCACCCTAACAGTAAAGAGTTTGTTTGAGGATTGTTAGGGGAATTGCTGTGCTTCCTTCATCTTTTATTTAGTTAAAAAATAAGAATAATTCTACATTCTGAAGGTATGCCTTTAGAGGTCAATAAGTTGTTCAAAGGAGCAAAGTTTAGCAGGTCCTGAATCTGCAGGATTCCTACAGTTTGCACACAGGTTTTAAGGCAGACTTAGAAATTCCTTGACTTCGTCTGTCCTGTTTCTGGGCCAGGCTCATTGTTTTCCCTCTTTGTTTCACACCATTCTTTTCATTCCAAACAAATATGGAAGGTGCTTTAGACCAGTGTTGACTATGGAAGACATTTTTTTTCCCCCCTCAACACCTGCACAGACCTGCGTCTGTCATTCTTACCTTTCCCTGAGCAGTCACGCCAACACCACCACCACTCCACCCCTACCCTGAGGATGCAGAGCTTTTCTTTTTGTTGACTAAAGTGAACCTGAAGCACAAAATGTCAACAGGAAGTTCCAGAAGTATATCAATAGCTAACAATGCTAACAACACATTTAGTGGACCTCTCCCATGACCTTCACACAGTCTCCACAATAAAATATTATGGCATTGTGTAATTGGAGGATGTGTTAGAGTTTGGCCTTGCTGCCTCATTCTTGTGTCTTGTGATCTGTCTACAGGTAGAGAGAGGCAGCTGTGGTTTGGCCACTTTCCGTTGAATACCTTGATTTGTATGATCAATCTGTTAAATTATTAAATGGAGGAATTCTGATTGCTAAATTTGGGTGGTCTTGTATACCTTCTAAAATGTGGACTTGCAAGGCTTGGGGACATGATTTGGGATTTGTTTTGGTGGCTGCCCGTTCTCTGTTTGTCATGATCTAGAAGACCAGGTTACGTGTTTGCTGTTGCCAACACAGGGCCGAAGCACTCCTCATATAATTTACAGTACACATCGGTCCTCCTAATGCATACAGTATGTCATAGGATAAATAAGAGGTTCTTCCCTTTTAAATCCAAATTGAGCTCAGTAACAGGCGAAAATACTTTATTTTTAACTTAAAGAACTGATAAAAATCTATGCAGCTTTTAAAGGCAGCATTAAATGCCATTACTTGCCAGCATCCATTAATTGACATTAGAAAAGTGAAAGTGAATTGAATGTCATAGGATGTGACAAACCGGGGCATTCAACAGAGCTTATTATTATTTTAAAAGTTGAATTAATACATATGCTCATGTCTTAAGACTTTCACAAAGTGAGCCAAAAGCACATGCCTGCAGTCATACAGATTTAATGGACCAACCAAATTAAAAAATTAAAAAATACATTATTTTTGATTAATCATTTTTCATCTGTTAATAGCTTGCATTAAATGCCAGTTTGGGTCTCCCTACAGTGAACGTCAGGGCTACAGACAACTCACAGTGATGGTCTTCATGTTCTTTTTTTAACATTGACTTTTTCATTCATTTTTTGAGAGAGGTTTGATGCACAATATTTAAATCTTAATGCCAGGACCTGTAGTGAAGAGTTTATACCTTCCCCTTCTATGAAGAGCATTCCTTGAAATACATAAAATAAGGAATTGTCTCAAAGATAGAAACAAAATCACATGAGCTGAATATGCAAATGTAAATCTCTAAATTGGTAGTTGTTTGTGCATGTTGCTAGACTTTTGCTAGGATGGCACACTCATAAGCTCACATTAACTATTTAAAATTAATTGGAACTAAAAAACGATTCTCAGATGTTCGCAAAAATATAAACAGACATGTTAAAAGTTATTTTTGTGTATCACAAATGTATCTATCTCAGTTATGTATGAAAGTATTTTCTTACTAAATTTCAGAATGCAAATTGCTGTCATAAATTGCTGAGTTGTCACTGTGGTTACACTATTTTAAAAAGAGATCAGCAAGTAATTCTACCAAACAAACATAGGAAGGATAAAATTGCTAAATATATGTACAGTATATATTGTGAGGTTGGACTTTTTATTGTTTATTGCTGCTATATGAAATACAATTAATCAAAATTGGCATATGACTCTGCAAATTGAAATCAATACTCAATTTCATGTTTAATGATTATGGTTTTTACTTGGCACACATACAGTATTTAATAATGCCAGTAGACGTATATAAACCCTTCAGGGCTAGTTTCAGGAACCTGACTGTGCCTGGAGTGTAGTTAAATGTTGTTTGTCCGAGTACATGAGGTATGGATCAGAAAACACGATTGTTTGTTGGCAAACAAAGCTAACACAGCCATTTACAAAGTCAGATGACTTTCTGTCACAAGCATGTCATGCGATTTCAGAGGAAAAACCTTCATTTCCGCATAAGGTACACTTCAGTCGTAGAGAGTAGCATACAGATCCTTTTGGATCTTTAACATTTTTAAAATATGAACTAAAAAGTAAATCATTGGTAAATAAATTTTACAACTTTGTAGGTTTTTTGTGAAAAACTAGTGATTTTTATGGATGTATGGGTTGACGACAGATATTAAGAGGTTTGTTATTCTGTAAGAAACTGATTTTATTTTAATCTCTATAATTCTACTTGTGTGTGTGCGCACACACGGCGATTGTAGTCATTATTGTGAGAAAAAAGGCTTTAACAGCTCCTCCATGCTGTCCAATAGCAGGTGAAGATGCAGAAGCTCTGTTGACATGTGCCATGTTTTTTCAGCCAGAGGTCAGAATGTTTAAGGGGAATTGCTGAAATAAAGCATCCGCTAACAATGTACAACATATTTACTGTCAGTGACCTCCAGTGTGATTTTCACACATCGTCCGGTTTCATAATGCAGTAATGTCATTGTGTGGTGGCTGCATTGTGTTCTGGCAGTTGCCTATTTTTTATTTGGTCATTGCAGTTGTTTTATCCCACAGTTTTAAGTTTCCATTTCCTGAGGTATGTTGCTTCTTTTGGGAAATTGAGTATTGACTGTCCCCATTTCTCATGTTTCAAGTTTGTATGTGTTCCAGAAAAAAATATTTGGCTAGGAGAATATGGACCTTCTCTGGATCAAACTCGCATGTCTTCCCTCTCCTTAAACATTTGTGGTAGTTTATAGTCGCCACCGAGTAGCATGTTTTCTACTAAACATCAGATTTAGTAGCAGGATCTTCAAATATACCAAGTCATCACCTGGAGCTTAACATACATGTAAGATAAGCATCCTTGGAGCTATTTGCTTTTTCAGTTCTTTAGCTTAGGAATTCTCTCTCTGATCCTATAAGGAAGGCTGAAATAGTTTCATTCAATAACATCTAAAAATCATTCTATTTAAGTTTATTGATCTTTAGATTGGAAAATACTTTTCAATCAATGAATCTATATACATATAAATCCTTTGGTAGCGTTTTCCATACTGAACATAATGATATTTAAAGGGTTGCAAGAAAAAGAGTGCAAGTTTTGATTGATCCCTCAGATCATTTTGACCCGAGTGTTACATCCAGCTAATCCCAAAATCAGACAGTATGACTGGACAGCACAACAGCTTAATCCAGGCACCCACAAGTCTTTGCATAAAGAGACTCATCTTCTCAGTCTTGCACGTCTTCATGTATAAAGTTATATACTTGTCACTACACACCGTAGAATTTCATTGGCCTGTAAAAATGTTCTTATTTGTAGTTGATCTGTATCTTGCTACCTGTTCTCTGGAACCCTGTCACAGGATATCCAGGTCTTTTGAACTGGCTTTTTAATATCAGGCTCTGTGTCTTGGCTCATATGCCATACAGTAAGTTTGTGACTTTATCTAATATGCTTTAAACTGAATAATACTGCCACCAATAGGCTACATTAGAAATTTGCACTGTTTGTTGCAATCCATGTCCTTCTTTATACAAAAATACATTTCTGTGATAATCTGCTGAAAATGTAACTATTTTGTTTTAAATTATCATTTAATCCTGAAATTTAAAATTTGTAGTTCAAAAGTAGTCTTATAACTTTGCGGAAGTGTAAAGTCGATTCTTGAGTTGTAGTGATTGTGTTTTTGAAAATTGTGAATTAAATTACTGCTAAATAACAAGCTTAATTTCTTCTCCCCAAACCAAACTAAATTGTTATTTAGAAGGAAATTGTTATAATCATCAAGCAAGCAATTGCGATCAAATTACACCAAGGGCTGAACGGAGCAAAACACATTACACAAATGCTGTATTTCCTGTTTGTGTTTTAGATGTCTCAGAGATTGCACAGCAATGTGTGAGAGGCTAATCTCAACGGACAAGTCTTTTTTAGCATTTGTTGTGTTTCATTTTTGCTGTATATATCAGAAGTTCATACATACAGAGTTCATGTCATGAGAGAAAGTGCCCTGCCTCCTGCCAGAAACAGATTTCAGACTTTCCTTTCCAGCATTTTTTTCAAGAATCCTTTTAACCAGTGCAACTGCATTTCACAGTCAGGTCTGACAGCCTCATCCAGTTGGGCAGGCCGCTGTCCCCCAAAACAACAAAGCCCAATGCATTCTTAAGGGTGTTACCTGTTATCTTCTTCTTTAAATTTGTTGAGTACTGCACTTAGCCAAGAACCTTTTTGGTTTACACACTCACAAATGTAGTATACAGAAAAAACACATTTCTGCTTTTTTTGGCTGTAGACATTATACTATAGTATTATAGCTTTGCATGGTATTATTCATTTAATTAATATGCAGTAGATGTGTACTTCTGGTTAATTATCATATCAATATTAATATTGTGGTTAATAGGATATTTATAGAACACAAACTGTGTAATTCATTTGCAAAAGTTAGATTGTCCAATAATAACCTGAAATATCTGACAAGCTACAGGGGACACTGTAATGCATTAAATGACATCATGAACAAACACGGCAAACACAATTTGAAGCGACTAATGTTGTGCAGAGTGTAACTGAGTCGCATTTGTGACAATCCCAGTTCGCTGAAAACATAATCCTTGTGGAGACCAGAGTGAACTGATGTGCTCTGTGCTTTCTAGATTATATTTAATATAACCTTGACGGCAAACCATGTTGTGAGTATTGTTTTTTAATCTACCGTTAATCTAGAGTGCCGTAATAAAAACATGTGTTTTTGTTTCTCTCTTTTTCAGACCGAAAAGCAATTTTCTTTAATAGTCACAATGTATCAAAACCAGAATCTTCCTCAGACCTGACTTCTGTAAGTAATACTCGTTAGTAATTGGTTTTCCTTTGAATCTCTCTTTGAATGTGGGTAGAGATCAACATTTAAGCATACATCTAAGAAGGGGAATTTTAGTTCGGTAATATGTAGAGGGCAATGTCTCATTGGTGGCTGTACCGTACTGTCAGAAATTTAAGAGCCTAAGGTCAAACGGGTAAACGTAAGATTTATAATACAGCTGAGTCTGACATCAGTGCTGAGCAGGCTCTCATGTTGGTGCCTCTTCACAGAGAGAGAATGTGGAGGGAGTGTTCCAGCCTCCCAGCGACGATGTCATCCGTAAGCTCTCAAGTCTGCTGCGCCAAGAACTGGGCGTGTCTCTCTTTGGGATCGATGTGATCATCAACAACCAAACTGGCCAGCATGCTGTTATCGACATTAATGCATTCCCAGGTAATGAACTCCTTGGTTTTAATTTTAACCCCACAGGTTTACATTATCATTAAGGGGAGAGGAGACAGTCAATAGCAATAGTGAAGTGTTAACAACAGGGCTAATAAGGATAGCCCATTTTTACCAGTAGGTGTCACCCTATCATTTGAAATGGGCACTTGAAATACTTCAGGCTGAGTGCTGCAGAGATGGTGTCAAACTAAACCACTGGTCAGTTCCATCTGTTCATCTTTTGATGGAAAATGTTATATAGTATGTGCACCAGTTGCAAATCCACCTGTACCAGAGAAACACCCAGTGATCCATTCTAATGCAAACAAAAGAAATAATTGAGAAGTAGTGATCACAAGTGTTGAGTTAATATTATTTTCGTTGGAAATGCTATCTGTATTTTCATATACATTGTATTTTCAATACATTAGGCGCCTTGATTTTAAAGATAGAAGTTAACTAAATTCCCTCAAATTATATTTTAGAAAACAACATACTGTATAACATACTGTACTCTATGAATTGGCTTCATAAGTCTGCTCTCCTCCCCACTGATGGCTGATGTGTGGTGAGTGTTCTGGTGCACTATGGCTGCCGTCGCATCATCCAGGTGGATGCTGCACACTGGTGGTGGTGGAGGGGAGTCCCCATTACCTGTAAAGCGCTTTGAGTGGAGTGTCCAGAAAAGCGCTATATAAGTGTAAGCAATTATTATTATTATATTATTATAAAGCAGTGAGTAACTTTTGGATAATATATATTTTGATGGGAAACTTTTGGCGGAGTGACGCAGTGGTTAGCACTGCTGCTTCGGAATGTTGGGGGCCTGGGGTCAATTCTGGACCCGGAGTGCTATTTGTATGTTCTCCCCATGTTTACATGGGTTTCAGGTGCTCCGGTTTTCTTCCTCCCACAGTCCAAAGACACTCGGGTAATAAATCGCTTCTGGGAAAACTGGCCCTGGTGTGAATGTTTGCAAGCCTGTGTTTGTGTCTGTGTGTGCCCTGACTTGGACTGGCATCCCGCCCGAGGTGTATCCTGCCTTGCGGTCATTGCTTGCCGATAGTCACCGACTCACCCATCACCCTGAGTTTAATTGGAATTGATTTGTTTAGCAAAGCCATTTTATGAATTTTACCTCACCAAGAGAAGTTGATATAAACCAATAACTACTGAAGCTTCCAGGTGAGATTCATTGGATTGACAGTGGCAAAAATCAATTTTATTTTTAGTTGCTTCTAATTCTCTCCCTCCTTTTTTTTTGTGGTGTAGGCTACGAAGGGGTACCCGAGTTCTTCAGTGACCTGCTGAACCACATCATGACTGTCCTCCAAGGGAGCCCAGAGGCACCAGCCGCGCCCCTCAATGGCAGTGCAGCAGAACAGATGCCCAGTGTTGCCATGGTCACAGGGGACCATGGAGGCAGTACTCCCACGGGCTGCTGCAGCATGCTGGGAAAGGACGCCAGCCCCTGGATCGTGGAAGGAGAAAGCAGCAAGAAGGCCTCGCACCAGAGACTGGGCTGCAATTCGGCAGTGTCGCCCAATTTCCAGCAGCACTGTGTAGCCACACTAGCGACAAAAGCCTCTTCACAATGACCAGTTTTTCCCAAGTGAACAAAAGAACCTATCTCTAATCAAAACAAACAAAAGGTTCACATTCTGATGAATTAGATTTTATTTTTTTTATATTTTTTGTTTAATAGAACTTTAATGGGAACTTGAACTCAAGTACAGTTCACACACATCATTTTATTGGTTTATTTCTTTTGTATTTTATGCCAATCAAATCAGGAAAGGGTCAGGATTAAGCAGAATACACAAGGCCTTCTGCCTTGAACACTAGAGACTTAAAGGATGTTTATAATGTTCAGTAATATCACCAGAATGGACACTCCTTAAATATAGTATTTGAATTATAGTAGGACAGACACAAATGTAAAAATACTACAAACACACACTTTTAACATCTACAAAATGATGTTTTTAATCTTATGGTTTTTGTGTTTGTTGTATTTTGGGGGTTGTATTTTATGTTTCCTTCTTTTTCTGTGAGAGGTAAAACCCAATTCACAGTGAGCAACCCTAAACATTGTGTTACAGTAATTGTACCAGTTCTGGTTTATTCTGCCTTAGTGGATGCTGAAGAACTTAAAAGATCTGAGCATTCCACTCTAATTGAGAAAGAGTATTCCACCCTAACAATGCTAACTTTGCAAACCAGAATTGTTGTAGGTAAAAATCCATCAAGTAATGGTGCACAATAAAATCAGATCGAGTCCCCTCTGGCTTTTTCACTGTAACAAGTCTCAAAATTATTTGCACAGAATATTTCTAAATTATTCCAATGAAATATATAAAGGAAAACCCAGAGTTTTTCACTACACGGAAACATTTTAAAGCTTTTTTTCATACACACTGTTCTTCCTCCTTTTGATACAGAGTTTCATCTGAAGTCCTGTATGATTTAATCTCATTAGACCTCACAGCAAAGGCAAAATGGCAAAGTACAGTATTTAGCTTGTCTGCCTTTCTCTAAGACTGTGTAGTAACACACAAAATCATACTAGTTTTTGAAGGAAAATAAAGTAAATTGTTAAATTAAGGTCTTGTCTACATTTAAAATTAGCATGGCACTCCATAAACAATATTAAAAGTTTTTTTTTTCAAACCCCAGGATACATTTTGGAAATGCACTGGGACAGTGGTTGGGAAAGGAAATGATACTAATCCTTCAGTTTGCATTTTATATAATATCATGTTTTATCACAGACTTTTATGTTACTTTGATTGCTTTCAGTTTCAGTATCATGTACTGTACATTAAATCTTTCTTTAATGGCAGTGAACACCCCTGTATGAAGGTTGAGCAACAGCCTGTGGTAAGGGTACAGAGAAGATCTTACTAGCTTTCAAAAATCACGGTGCAGTTGACAGCAAAAAATAGCATTTTATTTCCATACAAACCAGTTTGAAAGGGTGTGGGCTGTGTCTGAGGTAAGCAAAAATCTGATTGTTGAGTACTGAATGCTTTTATATAGGTGTGTTAGCTTACTGCTTTACAATATTTTAATGAAAGCAGTTAAGTGAATAAGAGCCACCACCACTCAGAACTGAAAATTACTCACCTTTTCCTGTCTTATACTCACATTACCTGTGGTTTGCAATGTGTAGGGCACGGAAATCAGACTTTGTTGTTTGTTTCTGCTGAATGTAAACCTGTAAACCTCTTAAACAATATTGGAGGTGTTTGGTAAAGTGACAAAGGATTAGCTCAGACTAGTAAACCAGTATAGGTTGAATCAAGCTATTGGTATACTACTTCTGGACATCCATCCCCAGTAATTATATAAGACCACATGTTGTCATTTTGCAGTGATAAGTAGTCCCAGTCAAGGTGCTTTTCACAACTTACTTGATGATGTTTCTATGGCAACTTGCAAAGTAGCACTCTTCTGCTTCAGTTTTTTTTAGTTGAACTGTCTTTGTTTTCTCTGTTGCCAATCGTACAAGACAAACGGGCATTCTATTTTATTAAAATCGCATCCGCAGAGAAATTGATTTGTTAGCAGCCATGAAGGAGGGAAAGATAACATTCCTTTTATTTTTTTTCTTCAGATTCCTGTATCTTTTGCAGGTGATTTTAAATGATCTGCTGTTCAGACAAGTGGCATTCAACTTGATGTTTATTCCACTTGGCATATTGTATTTTGTTTTTCCCTTGGTAACCTTGGTAGCCTACTCCAGATTTAACTAAACAATGATTTTGAATTTTATGTTTTCCTGGGTGTGTGTATTTTTATTTGTTTGCAGAGTGATTCTATAAAAAGTTTAGTTTTAATCAAGAAATGTATGAAATGATTATTTAACAGCAAGAAAGACCTGTGTAAACAGGGTGTAGTCTTTTAACAGGATGTAAGCATCTCTCCATATTATGAGTACATGAAAATTAAACATTTTCCATTTCTGTGTGTACTGTAGGAATATGCACAAGTATAATTCCACATGTTGGCTTTGTTTCTGTGGACCATAATTAACACTACAAATCTGCTTCAAAGAGAGAGAGTGAAGGGGATAGAAATCTCTGTATGTTAACAGGCACTTGGATTTTTGTTTAGTTGTAGAAAATAAGAATCACTGCTTAGCACCTGCACTCATATGGAACTAGTTTTTATTCAACCTGATGTACCTCTCTAATCTCTTACACCAGCTTGGTAGAGATGAGCCCAGCCTACATGGGTCCTTTGTGATGTGTTCTTCCTGCAAGTATGGAATGTAAATGTTGGGATTTGGTGTCTCTGTGAGAGTGGGTGCCCTGATTTAATGATGAGTCACTGAGCTTGCTAGAACATGGCGAGGTAAAGTTTTCTCACATCACCTCCAATCCTCAGTGGCGCTCACCACATTGCCAGCTACCTTGAACAGGCTTCTCGCCTCCACTGTCTGAAATCAACTGGTGGTTTCCACTCTGCAACCCATTCTCCTTTCCAAGTGGTCGAGGCACTCTGATGATGCCTAAGGTCTGCATGCTTGACTATACAGCTATCTTGTCAAGAATTCACCATTTTGGAATGGCAACATTGATATACCCTGTGATTTTAGCTTCTGATGTTTACTGTAATGTTTTTATTTTACAAAAAGAATGAGCATTATTTTATTAAACTATATAGTATATATAATATATAAAACAAAATGCATATTGAAAAGAATGTGAGCAGTGCTGAAGAACAATCTGTTTTGTTACACACAGAAAACTAGAACAGAAGGCAGGTGCTTGATAACTGTGGTGAATGAAACTAAAGAATAGTGGGTAAAAACAAGGGATCAGAAGGGGAAAATTGAGTTATAGACCATCTGTGGCTCATTCCTGGGAGACCAATGTGCTGAAGGAGTGTCTTGGTGTTCACCACTGCTCTGTATACTGTTGAATTCACAAGTGCATATTGTGTTCTGTCATTGCGCATCAGTGGGATTGTGTCAACCCTGATCCCCTGCCCACCACTTCCTTGAACTCCTGGCTTCCTATGAATGTTTACTTGGAGATTTTGTTTTTAATTGGTTCCTCAAAAACCATTTCCCCATTTTTTTTGTGACTTTTTTAGTGAAAGGAATGAAACTGGGCAAAATAAATTAAAAATGAACTTTACATTTCTGCGTTTGTCTTTTTTTTTTGGATGAATTTTATTTTCTGCTGCCGCACAGAGTTCCAATTTCTAGTCGGTCCCTTCCGTCTGAAACCACACCGCGTTCTGTGTGCGTTGATCTGAAATTTTAAACGATGATCTTCAAGCACCTTATCGGAGTTCAGCTTTCCAGACACCTGGTTAAATTAAATGCAGGTCATTTAGTTGTTCCCATCAGGAAAACAAAATAGTGTAGATAGAGTATGGTGCTGGTACAAATAGAAGTGAGACTGCAGAATCTCAGGACATTTAGAGTATTTTTTTTAATTGGTTGCACAGATGCCCATCTGTGCCCACCACCTGTCAATAAAGAACAGTGAGGTACTGCCATGGTGATAATATATTCTATTTTTATCCAGCATTGCTAGGGAACTGCTTCTCAACTCTTTCCATCAAACACATGCAATAAGATTGAGTATTTACATTTGGTAAGGTTTGTAAAATATTTAGATCTGGTACAGTAAGCTAAAAAATACAATATATAATTTTAATATTTTAATACATTAAACATCATGTCATTTTTAACTGTGTGCTATTCTAAACCTTCTAAAAAGAAGCAAGAAATTAAGGATTCAAATTTGAGGCAAAGGTTTTATTTGTGCTTTTGGTACAGTTTTAAGAATAGACATTCTGACCTTTTCTGGACCTTTGAGGAATCAAACTGTGTTGTGTCCAGCTGCTTATGCTCTGCCATTTTATTTCACAGCACATGGGGAACTGGGGGACATCTGAAGTGCCAGTTTTCAGGATTCAGGAATATTTTGACAAAAACCCCCAGATGAACAGCTGACATAACACAGCAGAAACAATTCATAGAAGAAATACAGAACAGGTTACAATTTTCTGGTTATATTCTAAAATAGTTTAAACTTGGCTCCATGGGTCCTGGCACTCGCCAAAATTGAATAAAACCGAGACCAGAACTGACGTTTCAATTTAAAAATGTAACATCATTGACGAATATCTCTCTTATGAGCTTGTTGAGGTGTGGCCATTTCATTTTTAATAAACTTAAATGTAAATGCTAATGCAGCACCTGAGAACTGCAGAGCGTGTGAAGATTATAAGGATGCTGGCAGAGATTAGAGGAGATTGAGCTGAGCTACCATCACCCTACAGGGAAAAAGCCATGCTTCCATGCTGCTTTTGGAAGAGAAATCGGTGTGTTGTTCTTGCAGTTAACATCATCGTACTTCATAACTACATTATGTTCGAGTGTCCTTGTCTGCTATGTGTTCCATTTTATGATTACTATGACACTTTTGAAATATACTAGCAAGTTGCATTACCATTTCGTATAATTTTTTCTTTTCCCTCTTAAAACATTGTTTCTTTAGTTACACTAGCACACCTAAGCATATGTCTGTTTCTGAAGAGATTTTTCAATTGTTATACAACAGTCACACTTACTATTTTACTGGATTCTTTTTTGAGCAACGTAGATCCCTAAATCTTTAGTGTTCTAGTTTAACCACATTTTACATCTATTGTTGCCGAGATGGTACCACAGGCGGGTCAGAGGTGAAACGTGTCTTCTGTTTTTGGTGTTAAAAATGCATCAGCCACCAGTAAAACAGCTTATTAGAAGCATTTTGACATAAATGCCTTCTGAATTTTGTCCCCTACCCCACTCAAGTGAGATGGCCGTGAAAAGCTGTTAATTACTAACACATTCCACATCTGTGCGCAACAAGAAACAATAAATTGACCTGTTAGTTTAATTAAGTTTCAGTGAAATCCCATTGCTACTGTAATTAATGCCCAGAACAATTAGCTTTGGAATTATGCTAAATTTTCTCAATCGGTCTTAAATGTCAACAGATTTCAGCTGCCCAGCCACCAAGGCTTTGTCTTTCAATGTACTGCTTGGAACGTACTACGGTGTGAAAAGTAAAAAAATGGCCCAATTTGAATCCTTTATTACAGATGCAAGGAAAACCAAAACAGACATTCCATCAGATATCTCCACTCAGTTTATTGATTTTCTTAGATAAATTCCTTATGGCAGGTATCACAGGGAAATCATTCACCTATTAAAAATTATTAAAGTTATTGCATGTTTCTTCTTTTAGGACAAGGAGCATAAGTTCATTATTATCATCATTATTAAGGACAATAATCACAAAAAGAAAAATGTTCGAAACTTAGTACCACACTAGGAATATACCACCCTGTTAACTATTCGCTTTATTAGCAATGTAATTATGTTATTATCATTTATTATTAATTATTCACTTAGTTTTGCACAGTGCAAAAAATTATTGGATTCGCAGGCGAGATACTGTAACGTAGCCCTAGCACAGACAGACATGGGACATAACATGAGGATGTGGAGAGGAGCTGGGGGCACTGACTGGAACTACAGTATGTGGTGGTTGAGGTGGGGAGCAATAAGGTTTGACATGCCACTATGGGAAAAAAAAACTACTTGCTGGAGATACAAACGCAGACATGAGGGTGTTAATGCACTTTTGTAAACAGACAAAGTGGAAGTGCCTTGGTGGCTGTCGTGTCGACGCTTAGCCTTTTCTCAGCTCGTGGAGCTTCTGTGCCACATTTTCCAGCTCTGACTCAATCGCTGCGAGACTCTCTATTTCCTGGTCCTGCAATAGATGAACAATGCTGGTTAATTCTGAGAACACGGTACTTGGACCTTTAAACAAAAGTCAGCCTGTCTTGCTTTTTGCCATACCTGCTCTGGGAAAAACAAAATTGCAGTGCACCAAATCACCAATAACTCGGTGAATTGGAGATTGTATTTAAGTTTTGACTTCCCTACGGTTACAAACTCGAACAGAAAAAATTAACAGTATTGCTTACAGCTACTGTACATTGTCTTGTTTCATCCTAAAGGTGGGAACATAAGTTGAAATTATGATTTGTGACAGTGGCTCTAAACGTTTGTACAAAAATAAGCCAGAACCTCATGGAGTTTATTCAGAGAAACAACATTTCAATTTACCAGTGGTGGGGCCCTGTTCTCATTCAGTGCTGGAGTGTTAGAGGATTTAACTTCATGGGTTTATTGTTGCAACTCAAACTGGTTTTCAAAGCTATGGTTGGTATTGTTTCGTGTTGTGGTACAGTGGCTCATTTCTGGGTTTAGAGAGCCCTAGTCCTTCAGGTTTTGTAGGTGCCTTCAATCCCTGTCTTAAAATCACATTCAGTCTTCGTTAAGCAGGGCTGTATTAGATTGTGTAATTAAGAGATCACTTAGAATGAATAACTGAAACCTCTGCAGCTCTCCATGACCAATGTTGAACACTGTTATGGGGGGGTTATTTCATTGTCAGGGCAACGGTTGACTGAAAAAAGAAACCAGAGCCTGAACAGCCACTCGGGTGATTTACCAATCAAGATCTGGAAACCATCAGCAGCTTCAGGCAGTAAATTAGTTTTTATGTGGTTGTAACACTATTTCAAGAGACACCTGATAAATACTAGAAAGAGAACTTAATCTTTTGGCATTGGACAAAAGCTGACATACTGTAAGTGATTTGAAGACTGAAGTAAGCAGAATTAAAGTTTTAACCTACTGATCTGCATGGTGGAGTTCTGAGATAGAAGGCAGCTTATCCAGGAGTGGCTTGAGGATATGCTAATATAAGTTGCATAAGTGTGTCACAAGACATTACTCAATCATTTCCGTCTTCCATTAATAAAGAACCCCTAGTATGTAAATTAAAGGTTCACTTCTGATGCAGAAGCTATTCCCCATTATGTACTGTAAAGCAGTGTTCCCATAGACACTCGTAGCAACCAAGATGCCCTTGGCGCTGGTGCACAGTCTCAAGAGCATTAGATCATTTGATTTCTGAGCAAATGAGCTGCAGAGCATATCAGCCAGGACCCAAATAAAGTATAATAACGTAGGTATTTTGTATTCAGAAGGGACTGACAAGTATTTGTGTTTTCGATTAGGTGAATGAAGGGGATGTTGAATTTTGTATACATTCAGAAAATAATCACATTTATTTAGCCAAATTAATATTTAATTATTTGTTCTGTATCCAAAATCAACCAGTCTGGAACAGATACATTTGACTATTGTACCTATGTACCCTGTGCAAATCAGGGAAAATAACTGCTTGTAAGCATGAAAACTGATCTTTTCGACACCTAACTGCACAGTCAGCTCAACACGCTGTGTTTGTCTGCTTAGCACAGATGTAGTGGAGCTAATAGCCTCTGGCTGGGCTGTTAAAGCTTTGAAGGCCTGAGAATGTATTGTGTGAAAGAAAGAGAAAAAAAGACCACCTCGGCCTTCCTGCTGGCGCTACCTTCCTCTTCTCGCCTCTCATCTGCCTCACTGTGAGCCACTGTCTCTTGGGCCCTGCTCCTCTCCTCTCGGCTGCTGTCTTCCTTGGAGTGGTGCTGGGCAGCGTGCCGGTGTCGCTGGAGGTCCCGAGTGAGGAGGCCTTTGGGCTGGGATGTCTGGGAGGATTCAGCGCTTCTCTCCTCCTCTTCTTCCCCCTGGGAGCGCTTCCTGGAGGACAGCTTCTCCGCCAGCTCGTCCATCCTGCTCCACCGCTTGGAGTCTTCCCCGTTCTTCTCCCCCTCCTGATCGTCTGCCTCCCCTCCTTCCTCTCCCTCTTGGCAGCACTTCTCCTCCTCCTCCTCTTCCTCACTGGACCGTTTCTCTTCAGTCTGCTCCTGCTGGTCTCCACCCTCCCCCTGCAGCGAGTTCTTAACTTTGTGAACATCTGGAACACTGGTCGCGGCGTCTGTCCTAGAACCTGTGTACAGAATGGAAAGATGATTGCTCTTATAATCCTTAGAAATAATTGTTATCAGCAGGAAGCAACTATTCGTAATGAGGTTCTTGTTTCACACTGGTAGGCTCGGCCTGTCACAAACGCCGTGTTTTTCTCCTGGGTTGCTTTTACACGTAGCTGTGTTCACTCCATTTCTATTTCTCCAGGGGTGAGATGTGAAAAAATATTTATTTTACAGTTCATTTAAATTGCTAGAAAGGGCATCTTCTGAAAAGTAATGAAGCTATGTGTTTGTAAATGACAGCCTGATATTCTTTCCCATTTTTGCTGTGTGACACGGCTACATAGTGCTTTGCTATACCATTGCTGATATTCTCAGGAATATTTAAACATCATTTGGGAAGATATGCTTAGACCATTTTAAAGTAGTGTAACCTATAGGTACATATTACATACCTTCTTTTTAACACCAGTAAGTTGGGCACCATAGTGAGAAAACTATTTAAACAGTATTAATATTTTGGGATGGTGTGAGTTCATGATGAATTAAAACCAATTCAAATCATCAAATGTGGAACAATCTGGCAAAACTGAGTCTTGTTGTTTTTCTTTTTATAATCATAATTTATTGGAAACGTGTACAGTATTGTTGTACAACATGTGGTAATCTTCTGTACTCACATGGAGGAGTCGTGTGATTAAAAAAATAGAAAACTAAATGAGCCAGCATAACGATCTTGCAAGTTAAAATTCAACTTCAGGTATAATCAAATTCTCTAAATTATATTTTAAAACTGCACGTTGCTTAGGAAAATTGTTTTCCTTATGCTGTTTCAGCATCCATTACACAATCAACATGTGACCAGCAGTGTATGGTGAAATTCTTAATGTGTTTGATATCTCATGCATGTCATGCTTGTCAGACTTAATGGATCACTTCTTCCTGCAATACTTATTGCTTATAGGAATGGGGCTTGGTAGGGTTATATACAAAAACTAGGCATCATAAATGAAACCTCATAGTTTTAAAGTTATCCATATATTTTTCTTACCAAACACCTGGACACTTCTCTTTAAAACATTGCTTAGCAGAATTAGGTTTATAGAGGTGTCATTCCTGAAAATCTCAGAGCTGTCTGGTTACATTCTGCGACACTCGGCTTTTTATCTCTGTAACTGGCTCTGGAAATTCTCCTGACATTTTTCCCTAACTGGAAGTCAATTGAACATTTTCCATATTAAGCAGGTTCCAAAAGAAAACAAAAAAGAACTTTGTACTTGATATGTTACATCAAAAGACTGTAGCCAATGGCCATCTAATCTCGTCTGAAGTGCAATATATTGCACCTTGCTGCTTGTGTTTTATGGTAATCAAATGTAAGGACTGGGATAGAATAAATACAATGATATGATTTAAAAACCCCAACAACCCTCTCTTTTCCCTTCACCCCTCCACTGGAGGAGAGAGAACCTCTAGGCAAGTTTAAAATGATCATTTAGTTAAAGGTTTTGTTTTTCAAAGCAGGGACATTTTGAGGGGCATACATTATCCAATGGCACCATTACCTCCTGCAGGAGCTAGCCACTGAAATTCTGAACATCTGGTTACCTTCTTCTAAAAAAAAAGGTTAGTATTTATAGATTAAAACCTTGTTTGTGTTTACATTTCTTATATATACAAGTCAAAGCTTCTGGAGTTTACTGTCATACCATCTTTGTCTGCCTCCGAGTTGTCTTCCTTTTCAGTTTCATTCTCTTCGCTTTCTGCTTTTCCTTGGAAGACACCATCACTCTCAATGTCCTCTCCGCCTTCCGTGGAGACAGGCTTGGAAGTCTCCCTGCTCTTCAGCTGCATCTCTTCTTTGCTCCCCTCAGTGCCTACAGTGGCCTTCTCTTCTTCCAGGCTCAGGGAAGCTGGGATGAGTTTTTCAGGGCCTCCCTCTCGCTTCTCCTCCTCCTTGGGCTCCTCCACCTCATTGCCCTCCAGCGACTCACCGTCACTTTCCGCACTCTCTTCCACTTCGTTTTCGCTCAGCTCCGCCTCTCTCTTCTGCGCGGGCAGGGCCTGTTCCCTCAAATCCACTCGTCTTGTCTCCGTGTAGGACTCAGGTTTCTTCAGGGCATCCAGCATTGACTGATCTGTGAAGGGAAATCAATAGAAGAAGTGACTAAAAAAAAACATCATAGAAAACTAAACGAGCCTGCATAACAATCTGGCAAGGTAAAATACAGTTTTAGAGATCAAATCCTATAAATGATATTTTCAAACGGGGGACAGTGAAGGATCCCGTCTCATTTTAATGCATTTCCTGGGAGAAAGATCCTTGGAGAACTTCTCGGAAAAGTAAGCCCAAAATATTCGAAGCCATTCATTACATTTCAATTTTTGGTGTCGCCAACTCCGTTAATCAATCTCAGCATTTCTTATGCACACAAATATTGATAATACACAGTTTTATATAGTCAGTGCAGTGCATGTGCTGTATGTAAAATATTTGTGTGTGAGTTAAGATAACATAGGCCGTTATTGGTTTAGCCTCACAAAAGTCCTTTCCTAACTTGGAAGTTCCTACAAAGCACATTTTTTACATTCACGTGTTTGATTCCAGGCTTTTGATGATGAGATAGAAGGTTTCTACCTTAAAACCTACATTCAAAACAGACTGAATTTGTCAAATGACAAATAGGGAAGAGAGGTTTTAGAACACAGATACAGTACTCACAAGGGGATGCCATATGTCACAAAGGAAACATTAGGATTCTGAAGTATTATGATAGTAATCTTAGTCTAATGCAGTCTTCTGCAACATAATTGTTCTTGTTCTGACAATGACACTGTATGTGATTCTTAAGGCACTGTAGAAGAGGGGAGCTGTCTTTTGGTGACTGTTATGAAGAGATTCCAATGGGTAAAGCATATTCTTTTCCTTTGGATCAGACATTGTTATGTCTTACTGTGTGTCATTGCAAAAAATGAATGCCAAGGCCATAAGCCACATTTTCATCTATGACAGAGCAAAGAACTAATTCTGTATCTAATGAGATTTGAGATTCCAGAAAGGAAACCAAAACAAAGAGGCTTTCTAATCTCCTTCTCTTAGAAGCTTAATTGGCAGTCCTGATTCTTCAAGCCCATGCACTTACAGGACTTTCATCTGGTCAATATTTTACTTACGTGGTTGACCCTTCTTCTGAAGATTGTTTAAATCAAGACTTGGATAGAAAATATGGAGGATCCAAGGTTGCTTCCCTATTTAGGAAAGCTGGGCTAATGGATATGGGAAAACCATTGTTACCTACTGTAGTGTTTTGGGAATTAGGACTGAAGGACCAGCGTTTGCTACTTTTCACCCTAAACCAAAGAATTGAAAGCCAAACACTGCTAAAATGGTGCTCTGTAAACGATCAGGTATTTATTAGGATGAGATACTTAAAATAGGTCAATCTTGTATTTTCCCCTTGTAATTTTTTATAATGAATTAAAGCATTCTGTGTGCAACAGCAAGTTCAAAGCATTAATTTAAGTAGCTTCATTCAAGATGTGCATTACAAATGTAATTCACAGATATTTGTTGCCTTGCTATCTGGTCTAATGATGCAAGTTAACCAGCCCTATTATAAATAAAATACCAAAATAGACCTTCTTTATCTATTAAATCTATTTCCAAGTTAGGGCAGTCAAAGCTTGATATACTGCACTGGTTAACCCAGGATGTGTGATGAGGTTATACATCAAAGCATATTGGTATGCTTTGTCCTGAAAAGCTGGAATAGCATACAGTATGTGTCCGGTACATCATAATCTGTATTTTTTTTCATTTCCAAGAATTTTTGTTCACCAATCAAGATGGAGATGTTTCTAAAATGCTGGCACAGCACGCTGTGTTTTTTTCTGAGTGTGAACTCCATGCTCTTACAAGGCTAATGTCACACGAATCACTGCTCTCACACCTACCCGCAGGAATATCCTTGTCCAAGGCATCCTCAAGGACAGCAGGAATCTGATCCTCTAGGTGATCACCTTTCTCCTGCTGCTGTGCTCTTTCACTAGCACCTATAGACAGAAATAGAACCCGTTCCAATAAGCACTCATTTGGAAGTTCTGTAGAGGTGGAATTTATTAAAGCAACTAATCTGCTCCCAAAGGGAACAGTGAAATTGCACTATAGTATTAGATTATCTGATATCTGCTTGCTGACATCATGTTATTGCTACTTCCATACAAATGTGCTAATTATATTTTGCAATGGATTTTTACATCCCAACTTCATTATTTGGCTTTTTGAATTTGCATTTCCTGAACAAAAAGGTTAAAAATATTGTTCCCAAACTTTTTAAAAATACACATTTTATCTTTTTTTTAAATGTTTGTTCATGTAACTTGAAATACAAATAGGACATAAGCCTAAAAGCATAAAAAACTTTGTATTCATTTATTTTTATGTGGCTTATTTGTCATTTGAATTTGTTCTGCATTTACTGTAGTAGAATTGGATGTTTGTAATGCATTAAACTTTACCAGCCTTACTTAGTGGTTTAATCCTCTTAAAACCAAATGTCATTCCACAAATTAAAAAGTGTTTGCCAGTTTTCTGAGGTAATTTTATATACTGCTGGGAGGTCAGTGTATTCCAGCTGGCAATGAGAAAAGCTCAGAGAAGCCTTTGTCTCATTCTTTGACCTTCCAGATATTATTGTGGTCTATTTCTCAACATTTACAGTACAAGCTATTATTCTGTTGGAAGCAGCTGTTTCATGCCTCTTAATTCAGAATCCGATACAAAAGTATTTGTATTTTTCAACTGCAGAACCATACTGAAAAACCTGCATTGCTTCTTCCTGGTCTTGGTATTCTTCTGTAGTGATGTTCCCATAGACAGAGATCTAAAATTATACAGGTTAGTCATACAATACAACAGATTTTCTGTACCTTGAGACGCAAGTTCCTGGAGTTCTTTGAGGAGATTTTGATGACGGAGAATTGAAATGATTCTTTCATCTGAAATAGACATACTTCAGTATACCTTCTAATTGTATATTCATCCCATAATGTAATTTTCATATTTTTATAAATCAGATTGCAGTGATAATTATACCAGCCCATCAGTTCTTAAGTTAGTTTTTAGTTTTATTAAGAGGTAATTGACACGAAGCTCATTGTAGAATTGTTTTAGCCCTAGTGCCAACTAGCAATTAATCAACAAAGAGGAGCAAAGTTTCTTTTAAATTATGGCCAAAGTAAGCTTTTTTTTTTTGCTGACCTAGAGATAGAGGAAGTTGCTGATTTCAGACACATTTTCAAACATATACTGTACCACAGATGCACTTGCCATTTGCCTTCAGTAAAGGAATGTTCTTGCTGAATCAAATTGGCTTAATTTCAAAGATCGTCCATTTCCCATTGAGAGGCTCTGATTTCAATTACATTACCAGTTTATCTGGCATTGATGGCTGCAATTGATTTTCTTTTTTTACTCTGGTAGTATTTGCAAATACGCTGCTCACAGATCATGGTTTATAACCTACAATGTCATCTTAATTTTTTTCCTGTGAGCAGATGAACTTCCTACTGTATATACAGTAAATCCTAAAATCAATGCAAAATTAACATGATCCAAAGCTCTTGTTTAGTAAATTCAGGGAAACTGCACACAGGCCCGTTCAAAACATCTCAATTAATATTTCTAAAGCAGCATCAATAACAGTAGCAGGTAACAATACTAGTGTTATACTATACAATACTAGTGACTTCACCCCAGTCCTGGCTATAACTGAGCTTCTGCCGAGCCAGACTGCCCAGTTATACCATAAAGAGCAGCACTGAACATTTCTGGAGGGATGAGAATGAAATATAAAGCTACTTTCTAGGGCTTCTGACATATGACTCAAGGCTGAGTGACACCCATCAACCAATGGAAAGTCTGTGAAAATAGGAGGCTGCATTTCCTGAAGGATTCTTCTTTAACTGATGTTCTTCTGTGTTTTTGTTATTAAATTAAGTTTTAAGAAGAGACAAGTATTTCCATGCAATGAACTTGCATTGTCTGTTTCACTCTCCACACAAAAAAGAGAAATATCAGTGTTCTGCTGGATAGGGAATCATCAGAAATGCAACATACTGTACTGTATGTGCTCTGTTCTGTCTTACAAACACATACTGTGTTTGTTCATTTCAATCTGGTTCTTTTCCTAGCATGTACAGTACCATACAGCTGAATATGAAGCATGTCAAGTCTGATAAGAACTTTAAATGTTTACCACTGAGAAACATACAACATACAAATGTAGGTAATTGCCTTCTATAAGAGAAAGTTGACATTGCACTACCCAATGACCTGTTGATATATTTGCTGACATCTAACCATAAATGGAAATGCTAATTTCCAATAGAACATTGCGTATACAGACCACAGCACTCTTACAGGATTGTAACATTATGCCTTTCAAAGTGTCAGGTTCAACAATACTGCATTATTCAGTTGACTGACAAAAAAAGGAATGCTTAATAGACTTTACCTCCCCTGAGAGAGTCCAGGCACTCCTGACTGATCGGAATTGGACTGGGTTTGGACAAAGTGTCAGCGATGACCTCCACAATGCATTTCATCACCTGCTTGGGGAGACAGGAAGAGACAGTGGTAACCTGGAGCTCTTTAAGGTCAGAGTTTCTTAAGGGCCCATCTCATACATACAGTAATGGAGAACAGGACCACTTCTGAACTGAACTGTAACTGAACCGTGTCCAATGTACATACTGTATGTAAGCATTTTTAAAATTTTAACTGGACTGAGATAAAAAGGGGACAGAATTATGAAAAATACAAAATACCAAAATGGCCAGATGTGAAAATGCTGAATAATGTTCATTCTATTACTTTTATATCTTGAATGCAATGCAACAGCACAGCATTCAAAATACTGAAAAATATATACAGTTATAAATGCAGTAAATGTTTTTTGGTTCCTATAGTGTTGTTCACATCTTTCATATTGCAAAATGTTTTATTGACACTTCCCTGTTTAATAATATTTTTATAAAACTAACATAGGTCAATCCATTTTCTAACCATGAGTTCTGATTTGAGATCGTGGGGAAGTCAGAGCCTATTCTGGCAAGCAAGGGTTCAGGTGATGGCACTACATTGCAGGCACACACACTCACACCAGCACCTAACCAATGAACCTACCAGTGTGTCTTTGAACTGTGAGAGGAAACCAGACCAGCCAGAGGAAACACATGCAAACTGCACACAGATAACAGCCCAGGAACTGAACCCAGAACCCCGGTGTTGCATGGTTGCATTGCTAACGACTGCAGCATCATGCCACCCTAAGTAACTAATATGATTAACTAAAAACAATTTTTGCAGAACTGCCCCTCTTTTCATATTAAAAGTGCATAACTTAAAGAATCAGTTGATGCTGATCGTCATAATAATTCATTGAAAAGGGAAACCTCCACATATTCTAGGTCAGGAAAAACCTTTGATGTAAAATGCAGAATTCCACATGGTACTCCTCAGACCAATTAAGAGTTGAAGTGCCTGTGTACATTTTTTTATGCGGGTAAAAAAAAGACAAACACTGCAAAGTGAATAAAATGCTCCTGAATGATGTGGTTGCATACAGTATGTGGTTTGTTGGTGTGGAGAGAATTGAGGTAAAAAAAGGTAAAATAAATTGGATGTTTTACTATGAAAAAGAAAAAACATTTTGAGAAAAAACTCAGTTATTCCTACAGGACTTAATGAGGAACTTGATTTATGACCTTCTGTTTTATAAAATGAGTTTCAGATAACATTGTGTTAGGTGCGTCCATTAGCTCAGCTGTTACTTATTATTCTGCAGCAGTTTTGCTGACCCTGCTGAGCACAAGTCTTCGACTGTCTAATATAAAACAGGTGTTGATTGATATGTTTGTGAAACCAGCAAAATACAATATAGCCTTTCTCTCACTTTTTGCTTGTGAGCAAATATTAAATCTTAGGTCATATAAATGTTAGATTTCAATGTGTGATTGTCATTTTTATATTATTTTAAGTGGAATATCATATACAGTATGGCTATTTTGTATGGATATTTATTGGGCATTGTTCTGGATGAATCTATAAAAATTATGTATATCTATGAACACTGTGTAGTAGTTCATAAATATGATAATGTAACCATTGTAATTTATTGTATTATCTATTGTTAGACGGTTGTAACGTGTTAAGGGTGTTTGATTCTATTATTCAATTTAGTGGGCCTTATCTCTTGATATAGTTAAACTTTTTCCATAGCCTTAATACAATTGATGTTCTCATATACTGTAAATAGTGATCTTTGATGTTATTTAAATACTGTACATCAGTAACAGTGTTCTTTTCTCTTTTTTTGTTTTGTGCTACAATAATACGTTTGTTTGCCCTATAAATATTTTTCTTATTTTAGGGAAAAAAAGATTAATAAAGCATTTTGTATTTTGAACATGGTTCAATTTGTGGAATTGTTTTGACTTCTCCAGGACCAGAACTTTGTGGAGTTATTTGTGTCGAAGCGGGCGCTACTGAATACTGAGTTGAGAACACCAGCCTTCTTTCTTTTACTTCCAACATGCACTCTTTATTTTTCCAAAAATGAGAAAACACTGTAATTGCAGTTACCTCTGTCAATAAAACATTCTTCAGAGGCTTTTATAGTTCAGTGGGGCACCTACAACTACAACTGAAAATCTGTTCAGTTTACTTTAGTTCAGATTTTTAGGACTTGCCAAGATTCTTTGATAATACTTTTGAATATGAGTACTGCACAGTAAGACATTAAGGATACTCAGTTATGTCTCCTTTAAACTGATGTGAGGGTACAGAAATTAATGGAATTGTTATCTTTGAGAAGCCACCTGAAAGGTGCTATATAAAATAAAGTTTTTTTTTCCTCCATACAATAAATAGCTTTCATTTTGCAACTTCTCCCACGTAAATAATATTCAAGTAATCAAGATATTTACATCCCATTCCCAGGGATAAGTATGCCCAGATGCTGAATATAACCACACAGCAGAAACGTTGGTATTGATCTTTGTAAAAGTCACATTGAATTTTTTCACTGATGAGAAATATAATATGGCTGAGATTGTGCTGTTGTGGAATTACAGAAATGTTCATATTTCATACACCTAAAGAAAGGTTTCCATTAAAGCATCTCATAAATTCAGTCTCTTCTTTTTTTTTCTTTATTCATCAACTCAAATCATTTCTGAGCCTTTTACCAGGGATGAGTACTGTAGCTCAGATCCCCTTATGTATTAGGGAGCTCCTTCTATTCATTCCACTTTATTCATAATTGCTTAATTAAATCAAGGATTTGCTTAAAAAGACTTAATAAGCTTTTTAAACAGGTGTAAAGAAGTTCCATTCAAACATACACCATTAAATCTCTTATATTCCAGCCTTAAAGAAGAAGACTTCAATGTCTTGCTTTAAAATTAATCTAAGTAGGATACCAAGCAGTGGTCTGAAAACAGACAAAATCACTCAGTTGTTCTCTGGGCCAAAAACAGCTACCCAAGCTGGAAATCAATATTGCATGTTGCTCTTAGCCACATGGAGTGTGTTTCATATTCATCAACTAGAATGGTTGTAGTCAAGATATGTAGTTATGGCACTTCACTGCATTCAGGTTTTTGGCATTCACAAAAACTCATAAATATGGAACAGAAAACATTAATGCATCAGAAGCACAGTGGTTCTAAGCTACAAATCAGAATATTTTGAATTGTGGCTTTTAGGGAAATTAAAACCGTGAATTGATCAGGTCAACAGCAGTGTGGGAACATCCTGTTAACATTGTAACGTGCAGTATAGATTTGGGACTGTCTTTTAACACTCTTCAGAAAAACATCACACTTTTTAAACAAATGAATACCATCTGTATTTGCATGCAGTTTGATTTCAAACTTATTACACATATATCATCAACAACTATTTTCCTCCTCTTCCCGTACAATGTGGAATATCTGTATTATGTGACCTGACTTCTGCAATCTTGTACTGACCGGATACAGATAAATACAATGCGTCACAGTCATATCTTTTACTGTTAGATTTTGCTACAGAAAACCATTTCCTCACAAAGAATCAACTCTCAGCCACAAGAGGGTGATATGGTATGTAAAACATTAAGTTAAAAGAATAGCAGAAAGCAAAAGAATTGAATAAATATTATGGATCGTGCCTAATGTCACCAACATTAGGTGGCTCTTAGTATCACTTACAACCGAAGACCCAAATTAAATTCCAGTAGTTCAACCAAAGCCTAGATGGAATGAATGTAGTTTGATCTGAATTGATTAATCATCTTAACACTTCTGGTGAGACAGTGGCAACCTGACTGTAAGGACGAGGCTATCCAACCTCCTTTTATAGGGGATAATCTGGGAGTGCTACTAGGGGAATGACAGGGGTGGAGGGAGTAAGGAGAGGAGGGAGGCTGTAGTTTGACCTTCTGGACTAAATGGATTTAATGGATGAAAACTCTATTAATATCGAGCACTTAGGTTAATGACGGCAACCTAGTGTTCTGATAAAAATTAATAAAGTGGTACCTTGACCACAGGAACTCCAAATATTGTATTTACAAGTTCTGGGAAGCTAGCCAAGAACTTGTAGCAAAATACTAAGAAATACTAAATACTTAAAAAAAAATGACTACACTAAGTAGCAAAGTGTTGCATAATTGTACTGTTTGACTATGGTACATGACAGATTTCTTGGAGACTGCCCTGATGATGAATCTCTTTCACCTGTCCTGACACTAATGTAAAAATACCCAATTGACGCCTTACAGAACATCTGCTGAAAACTAAATGAGCGGTGCTTTCCTAATTCACATCTGACCCACTTCTGACCCCTTTAAATTTAGCTGAAAACAAATAGGAGAAATTAAGATTTGTCCAAACAGGATTATATAATCTAAACAGAAACACGGATGCATTTCTCAGATCATACATGTGTATACAGTATGTTATATGATGATATGATAATGTATCCATATATTTCCTTTTTGTTGGTGAAAACAATATCTGTGGCGGTACACAAAATGTGCTATTTTCAATAAATTTGTTCAGTTTAAAGAATTAGATTACATTTAAAACATTTCTTCCTACCCCATATTTTTAACAGATGCTCGTTTTTGTTTTTGTTTTTATTGAAAATAGATCTTGGACGTAAAATAACATGTAAATGTAGCATTCAGCTCAATTAGACTCACATAAACTGTTATTTTGTGCATGAATAATAAATTGGTCATCTTACCTTGGCATCCTCTTTATCCACGTGATTTGAAGATACTGGTAATGACAGCACTGCAAGGAAGGAGAAAGCATACATTTTAAAACTCATGGTCTGTTCTGAATGCCTCCAAATCTTCCATTTTTTCGTGTAATTAGCCAGGTTTTGCAAACGTTAATGTGATCACGCTTCAGTAGATGTACTTCCCCTGCAATCTGGTATGAGGCAATAGATTTTTTTATAAAGACGCACAGCACCTATGCGGCGAGTTTTTATCACTTAGCAGTCTGATAAAAAAAGAAAGCATTATCAAATGTAATTCAAGGATTTACTGACATAGCAAAGCACGTCCATTAAGTTCTTCGGAGAAGTAATTACTATTTGATCCAGCACTATCGTCTACCTGCACGAATGACCTTGAATTTTTAAAAGAAAACGGCTTTGTATATAATGTCATGGAAAATCGATTACAATTGTAAAGAGGCGGTTCAACTTTATAGAAATAACTGTTATTCTTAATTTACACACATGATATGTAATTTGCGTTTATGTTAACTTATTATATTAAGCTGTGTTTAGTAGCGTTCACTCAAGTAACAATTCGAGTAAACGCGTTGCTGTCCTTGGTGCTGAACTCAAAGGACAACACAGCGCAATAAACCCAACTAAATATTATTTTGCGAAGACACGAGAAGTACGCAATTCTCAACCCATCAAAGTCTGTTTCATTTGTCTTACCGTGGTGGAACACTAAGGTCAAAAGGAAACATCCTCTTGCAATCATTTTGCGAAATTCTGGTACAAGAGTCCCGTTTGCAGAAAAGGTAGGTTCTGCCACGATCTTCCGTTTTTTGTCGTGTATAATTAGATCTGTGTCTTGAAATACAGTGCCTGTTGTTTTACAATGATCAGATTATTGAGCATCTGCAGCCGTACTCCTGTTCTCTCAGTGTCTCAGTGAGGTTTAATGCAGCAACACCTGCGTTATATGGACGCTAGTTGAGAAGGAAATGACATCAGGCATGTAGTAGCATCAGACGAGTAGAAAGAACATTTCTGAAAAAAAAAAACGTTTTCCCTCTCATTTCCTTCCTTGTTTGATGGAGATATACGGTAACAATACAAGTGACCGCTAATGAATTAAGTCAAATTACACCTCTGATATTTCGTAATAATGATTACATGTGATAACATATTTCTAAACTGGTAGTTTTTAAGTAGGGTAAAAGGTAAAGTCTTCTCACTACAAGCGACTTTGTATCACGCTAAGGAAATAACATCAAATCTGGGATTGCGTTTTTAGTTCGTTTTTAATTTTTCCTCTTATTTTCTTTTGATCAACTGATTGAGGTCCATATTTTGATGTGGCGACAGCATATCGTATTTCACGCAAAATATAAGTTACACATTAACGCTTATTTTGAAGTTAAAAGGCGATACTGAGATGATTGGCTCATCATTTCCAAGTGTATTGCGAAATTTTAGTCTCAATTATTCTATAAAAAAGTATTATTTTATTTACTCTTCTACAGCAGACTACCACAACTTCAGTGAAGTATCATATTTTCAGCACAGTCTGCTGTTAGCAGGCTTGGAGAAGAATTAATGTCACAAATGAAGGCTTGTACAAATACAAAAATGCTTCTTTGTCATGAACAGAGAGCTCCTACTCCCAAGAAACATCTGAATTGAACTTATATTGCTCTAAAGACATCAAATGTATCTGACCTATTTTAAAATAACTTTGGTGATATTTAAACTTTCTGCTTTTTCAGATGACAACATGATGTGCCAATATGTATCATTTTTTATTGCAAAGCCTCTTACTATAATGTCCTTGCTAGTGATTCATTATGGGGTGCATTAGTGTAGTTAATCTTGTTCTGCAGAGGTAGTACTGTGTAGCATGGAGAACCACTGTCTCTGGGGTCTGTAAACATCTTAATTATGTGTGGGTGAATCCTGCTATATTAATATTTTAATAAATGGCTGATGTGGAAATAATTTGTATCCATTATTAATCTAAAGCTTTTAGCTAAAATACGTCTCAATTAATTCAGACTGAAAGCTACATATTTTAGACATTTTAAGACAACAATCTGCCGTGCTGTACAAAGTTTCAAAAGGCCATCGAATTAAATTCCAATTGGTAAATGGAAATAAATATCTGTCACATGTCATTACGACAGATTCTAATTAGATAAAAGGTTGTGACATCCACTGAAGGCCTTGTAACTATAAATTTAATTAAGTTGCAACTTTATACGCAGAATAATAAACATATTATTTGAGAGGTGAGAGGCAATTTTATGACTGTGTTTTACCAACATATTTTGTCTAACCCAAGTTTAATACTTAAGACTTGTGTTCTGCTCTACATAGGAACTGTCAGTATATAAAAACAATATAAATTCATCTTTCCAGCTTCCCTCTTTTAGTTTTTTCCCAACCAAGTTTATCTGAATAGTACGTTTTAAAGGCATTCTGTTAATTGTAAAGTAAGAAAAAGGTACTAAGATAAATAATAGATAAATAAGGTACTAAGAAAGTAGATAATGTGTGGCCTAACCCTTAGTTTTGCTGTGTAATTTTCCACTGACCATGATCCTTTTGAGTGCTTCTGCTCTTTGTTTGACAGTAGTTGGATTAAAAGGTCATTTTCTGAGTAAAATGAAAGTAAATACTTTTTTTATAGTCACTATGACACAGAAGTTCCTGCATTACCAAAACAAAAATAATTTATTTTGAATGGAATGTTTGCCCTGATCACCTCATTTTTCAATTAATGAAAAACAGAAGACTTGACTGTACTGTATTGTTCCTGCCAACAAGCTCACTACATGCAGATGTGCCTTAAAGTAGCATGAGAAGACTTCAAGAATCACACCCTTTACAAGAGTTCATAATAAATTTTGTGACCATTTAAAACAAAAACCTATCAAAGAGGTTTGATTTTTCAAGCTATTTGTTTGAGAATTTTAGCGTATGAAGTACTTTCTAACGTAGGGCACGTAGGGGACTTTGTACAGGAGCAATGTTTCATTTTACTGACTACCAGAATACAAATATTTTCTTTTTAAGATCAGAGACATCCCTTTCAGCAGGACAATACCCCAAAGCACAAGGCCAGAATGGCTACTCCAAGCAGCTTAAGAGAGCTTGAGCAAATCTCCCAAGAAGAATGAGCCAAGACTGGTAGAGACTCATCAAAAAAGACTTGCGGCTTTAATTGCTGCCAGGAGTGCTTACTCCATATACCGAGGTCGGAATACTTATGGTATGAAATTAAAATATTTCTTTGTAGTCTTTGTTGACATTTACTTCTCATTATCTTTATCTTCTCCTGCCTTTTGAAGGCATTAGTTTGAGCATTCAGGTTTTATTAAGATATTCAATTTTGCCAACAATATAGTATACTTTCTCAAAATGGGACACATTAGGAAGGATTTGAATACTTATGTAAAGGACTGTACCTATACAGTAGTTCTTCATTCTAATAAAACCAGGGACAATCTTGGAATTAACAAAACAGCCCAAGGCAGGGACAACTCAGTGTTCTGAAGCTTAGGTGAAATATGCAATTTCCTTACTTTCTCCACCTACAAGATATGCCCACTTTTCAGCTGCCAACTGTCTGGTGTTCATTTGTTTGCTATTTTACCTTACCAAAGTCTTATGCAGGCACTTTTTGAAGGAAACCACAGACTCAGCCCCATCAATCTCAGTTTCTTGTTTACCTCAGAAGTTCAGTTTACATTGCATGCTTCTTAATTTCCCCTTTTGGTGTGAAGCTCTCCTTTTACCTTGGAGTTTGGTGTAGCTGTTTGGGACACCTTGTCGATGCAATTAAGCACTGAAATTCTTTAGAATTTCCTCCAACCTAAATAAATGTTGTCTCCTTTATCTAGTCAGTGATTGACAACCTAGTACTGCCATTTCACACGCAACTGATTTTGAAGTATGCACATATTAATTAAGTCAATTTAAGAAATCACGAAAATTTTAACTTAAACATTGATAGATCTTTTCAAAATGTCTAAAATCAAATTTATTTTTATTGTACATCCATCCTGTTTGAAAACATTTATTGTTTCTTCATGTCTATTGACAGGATCAACTCCTGTTCCCACCTGGGGAAAAGGAGGCAGGGCAGACAGGCACAGATCGATCCCCAGTTTATTTTTGACATTCTCCCAGCCTTTCAGCAAGTATTATTTTCTCCAGTACCCCAACTGGGGAAATGATATATCTTGCACTGAGGATTTCTACACCTCAACTGAGAAGTCACTCTGTTCTATCAACTACAGAGAGAGCTCTGGCCAATGAGTCCCATCCCAGTTGTTGGTGGAACGATATGAATACTTTTTAATAACAAAAATATTTTTTGCTAATCAATTATTATTTTATGGCGCACCATCAAAATGTACAATATAGCTTTTGATACTCATTTCATTTCACTTCTCTCAGGGAGAAAAAGATGTATATCTCGTCTTTATATTTTGTTTTCAGCCCATACGCAATGATGCTTTTGTTAGTCTTGCAAATTAGAGCACTCACCTGGCCTGGCTATATGCACAAAGCCACACACTTTCATCATTTTGCTTTTTTTTTCATCCCTTGCATTTCTACAAGCCACAAGCTCCTTCGTGTCTCCCAGGATTCTTGCTGCTGAAGATGAAACATGTTCCCTCCTGTTTCTCCAGCCATCTCTCGTTAATAAGCATCCTGAAAGTAATATATCAGTGTGTTGGAACTGGCACCGATCCCAGATACATTAATCTCCCAGAACACTGGAAGCATTTCTTAACTCAGATAAAGAATATTTCACCAATTGGACAGCACTCAAGGTATTCCAAATACAGAATCCTTTTCAAAAGTATTTTCTTTTTTCATTATCTTGAATATGTTTGAATACGAGATTGTTGAATTGTTATAACGTCTATGCTGGGACCAGCACCTTGTGGCCTTTTGTGGTTTGCTGGGTGTGAGTACTTGCTAAATACTGGGTTGAACACTGCCTTCATAGTTAAGAATTTAATTAAGTTTAAAGCCTGGCCTCAGGACAGTGCAGCCCAATTGTGTGCCTCAATTGTTACTGATTGTAACTGAACCTCGGGTATTTCCTTTCATTATAGCATCTGAAACACTGTAGCTGTTCTCCTTACAGCAATTTCCAAAATGTACTATTTAAATGTTCTTTTTTCTGTGCTTTCAAATTGCCTAACTGTTTTTCAAAGATGTTCTGTGTTTTCTTTTTCATATTGTTCTTAAGCTGTATGTTATTTTATTGCTTTAATTGTTTAAAAACATTCCAAATGGAATAATCAATATCTAATATCTCATTCACCATTGGTTTTAATATCTCAGAATTGGTTTCTATGCTTGGCAATTCTCTTCAGTCTTGCCAGAGAACTTTTTTTAGATTTGGTGGCAGGATTAAGGATACTGACATGTACTACATATACTGTAGTAAATCATGCTGGATCTGCTGTAAGAGACAGCAACATTTAATTGTTGAGTTTCAAGCCAGCATCTGAACTATTATGAATGAGAAGGGAATATGTCAGAAAGAAAAACGTCAATAATAAATACCAAATAAAATTAGTCTTCATATTGGAGAATGCTTTTCTCTGCCTTTTTTTTACAGAATTACAGTCAATCTTTCCTCAACAATCTCTCTCACTCAGACTCCTTACTCATTACATACCCTGTCTCTGTGCATTTGCAGACAAAGGCAAGGATATAAAGATCCACTGATCTAGGGTTTGGGTTATATTCCCCTTGTATTGCTGCTATCCTAGGAGTGGAACTGATTACTTAAGTACTATAGGGAAACTAAGAACTAAGGACTAAAGAGCACAAGTGAAAACCTGTATGTTTGTTTAAGATTGAAATATTGTGGTACGTTATGGCGCAAACTGTGTCGGGATCTGGAACAAACCAAAACAATGCTATTTGAAAGAGGTTCCCTCTCTACATGAAATTCCAAACTATTGATCTACTAGCAA